CTATCTTTTTTATATCTGGAGCCCCTTAAGGAGGCTGGCGGGTCAACAATTTAATCCCAAATTAACCACCAGATTTAACTTATTTTTTTTATATACGGTATATTTTGCTGTCAACTATCATTTGGCAAAGAAAAAATTCATATATTTTAGTTTTAAAATTTTACCATTTTGTATATCTTTATATGGAGCTCTCCTTTTAAAGGAGATTGAAATAGTCTAAAAATGGCTGCCACCCCCTAGCCTCGTTAATATGTTGTGATAATGAATATCAATGAATAGTTTCTGTGTTTTTGGTGAGAAGTTATGTAATATGACTCAGGACTGCTTACATGTGTATAATCTCTAATAAAGATTGATAATTCTTTTGTAGCAAAAATCAAACAAGAGGCCCATGGGCCACATCGCTCACCTGAGCACTGTGGCTAGGAAAAATTAGAAATTAGTTGGTTTGGTTTGAACATGTTTTATTGTTAAGATATCACAACAAAAGGATTGGACACAAGTACTTAATACTTAGAACTAAAATGAAAATAGGATTTTACAAAGAATTGACACGGTTTGCTATTTTTGTTATTTAATTGAACCAGATAACTAAAGTCAGGTACGCTTCACACAATTGTTCAAATAACTCAAATGATTGAAATAGTGGTACATGTAATAATAATAAATTATGTTTCTAATACATATACAATAGAAACTAAAGGATGTATTCAATTCACTATGACAAAAGATTTGACCTATAGGAGAGAACAATTTCCCGGAAAAAGTGATATTTAAAAATTTCTTTCTTTGCTGTTTTCTATTATATACATATATATGTCTAATTTTTTTTTTCCAAATTTGTATTTTATATCTAAAATTTATTATAACAACTTTACAATAAGCCTCAAAATTTGGCAGAAACTCTGTTTTGTCCGTAAAAGCGTTTGATTTTGTCCTAAAAGTCCTTCAGGGCAGGCCTGCCCCTACATAAATCTGTGATATTTGGATAGGTTGGAATGTAAGAAATAAGTCAAGAGTCAGACTAGCACAGTTGTTATATGCGCTGACTTTTGCACCATAGAAACTTTTTAAAGTCGGGGGTTTGAATCCATCCGGTACTACACATTTAAAGTTTTAAATTTTGATTTTTCAATGATTATTTTCATTTTTTTATAGACTTGTGAGCTAGTATTTTCCGTCAATTATCTATCCATTATGCAAACCCATTCTTGATATAAGAAACACTTATTAATAAGAGATACTTTTATCAAATCGTAACAATCCAATGTACAGTTGTCAGTCAGGCGGAACAAACTTCAGTATAAGCACACTTTCTTCGAGGACAAGCCCCGTGGGGATCCGGGTTAGAATAGGTCCTCAGTACCCCCTTGCTTGTCGTAAAAGGCGACTAAATGGGGCGGTCCTTCGGATGAGACCGTATAAACCGAGGCCCCGTGTCACAGCAGGTGTGGCACGATAAAGATCCCTCCCTGCTCAAAGGCCCTGAGTGCCGAGCATAGGCCTAAATTTGCAGCCCTTCACCGGCAATGGTGACGTCTCCATATCAGTGAAATATTCTGGAGCGGGACGTAAAACAGTATACAATCAATCAATCAATCTTCGAGGACAAGAATAACTCACTCTGTCTTACACGATACAGGTATTATTGGCAGAATAGAGCTGCTACGAATTTCAATTGTATATATTCATTAGAATTCAATCACATTGATTTTGGCTACATATATCAGTAACTGTACCCCATGGATTTCATTTAGACCTTTATAATTTGTACACATTAATGACATATTAAATTATATCCACAATAAATAGCCTGAGGATAATGAATAGAATTTCAGAGACAGTAGACATAACCATTATGCACAAAAAAATGTAAAGACACATATCAATTATCTGATTATTACATAATTACATTTGGAGATAACAAAGTCAGAAAATCAATGAAGGGGTTCCTCGTAGCTCTACTCACTGAAATAAAGATTAAGGAAAAATAAATTGTTATAATTATGTTTTCAACCTAATGCCATTCATCGGAAAGGAAATCGATGAGCTTTTCTTAGAAAAATAACTATATTACATGTATAATGAAGTGATCCTTTAATATAAAATGATGTTAAAAAAATCACCTTTCCCCGAAATGTCATAAAAAAATATAGGTCATTCTTCGATTGATAAAGCTTTTAACCAATTCTATGTATATCACCTTCATAACTATTGTTTGTTAATAAATTTTCGTATATTTTCTTCTGAGTTAGAATGTCAATCATTTATTCTGTGCGTGAGGTGTATTTATCTTTCTTTTTTATTCAAATAATGGAATGGTTAAAAACACAACACCTGCAACCTTGACAAACGTACATGCGTACAAACATACAGTCTCTTTTTAATCAATCGGTAAAAACACGGCTCGAGTGTACTGAAAATGGAGATTGTTTTCCATTTTTTATTGACGATAGACAGACAGACATACAGACGGACACGATGAAACTATATACCCCCAAATCTTCGATTACAGCTAGGGACATATAAAAAGAAATAGTCTTCAATGAAGTTTTCATATTGTGATATAGTATAAAGAAGACGTTACAAAAATGAAAATGTTTGTTCTGATTTTCATATTAAATTCTCTGAAATTTGTTTTTCAGAACTAGGTAAAATCGAGGAGTAAAACAAGAATTAAGAAATGTAATGAATACTTTGTGCTAAATCAAAAGGTTATGTCTTCATGTATAATTTTTGCATTAGAATGTGTATTTTACACTAGCCCATAGCTTTACAGTGCATATTTTTAGGTATTATACCCAACCCAACCCCTTACTTATTCAGGAGGAAGTTGATTATCAACAAAAGCAACAGAAAAACTACCCTACCTTTATTTTTCTATAAGGAGGGACTAAAAATAAACTGAAAATAATCTACTATTCTATTAATTTTCAATTGTTACTCTGCCACAATACTTTCAAGTAAACCCCAACCAACATTTAAAAAAAATGCTTTAATCATGGCGAAGTAAATAATGATATGATTGAACTTGTGTGAAGGCTTAACTTCGTTTCAATATTTTATCTAGAGCGTATTTCAGTATTATTGAAAGGTATAGAGTTTTATTTACATTTTTGCTTTTCATTTATTTTTTGTTTGTTTTGATTAAACGTATTTGGGTCGGGGTGGAAGGGGGGGGGGGTTGGGTTGGGTTAAAAATTTCCTTCGCTTTCATTGTCAGATAGGATTTGCCAAACTTATACAAGCTAAAAGTTGAAATGAAGGAAAAGTTAATTTTTCTATTAAAGAGTATTGGAACCTGATTGTTGCATAGTTTGATTTCTAAAAACAAGTGGAACACCATTCTTTAAGCAAACACTATAAGGAGGAATATTAAAAAGAAATGTTATTTATTTGACAATTAAAGAATCTCTTTTCACTTTAAAGGGGGTCATTTTTCAATGGGGGTCAATTTGTTATAGGACCAACATATAAAATAATGACCCCTAGGACACTTTTTCTACAAAAAAAATTAATTTTTTTCTACGGGTAGGGGGTCATTTTTTGTCTTTGAAAAATGATCCCCGATCATTATTCGACGGGGGTCATTATTCGTCTTTACACCGGCTGCATGAGCTATATTAATAGCATGAATATTAAAGACTGTTGCTACCTCATAACATCAACAAGCATTTTGCATAATTTATGTGTTGTGTTTTGAAAAAAAAGATGACATGGATGACTATCTTGAATAAAATTCAAACTATTATCCCAGCATTATAGAAACGATCGTTGTGGTGTTCACAAAAGAAACGCTCTTATGCAGAGTCTTCAAAAATAATGCATGTGCCAGTTTCATCTCTGCAATATTTTAGTAAAACTGTTGTTTGTGATTAATAAAGGAAGAACACAAACTGCAGGTTTTTTCTCTTGAACTTTAATAGGTATTATGTATCAATAAAATAAAACAAAACTAAAAGAATTACCACCAGTAATAACTTTTTCTTTGTGTCATGATATGCTGTATACATGTCAAAATATCTGATGAACAAAGGGACAAATGAAAAGTTTTTTTGAAACTCCAGGAATGCTCAATATCATTGAAGATATGAAAAACAAAAAATCCCCAGGATCAGCTGGGTATACAGTACAAGTTTTTTCTTGGAAATTTTAGATATTTTTGTTATGAAATCTTTAAATTAAGGGTGTTTAACGGGAACATTTTCACAGTTCCAATCTCAGGGGGTAATAAAATGCATTCCAAAAGAGGTAAAGGATAGAAAATATATACTGAAAGGAAAAAGAAACGCATATTTTACTTTTAAATTAAATTAAAACTATTATTTCGAAAATGTTTTCCGGTATTGTTATCAAACATTTTAATTCATCTTTAATTTACCAGTTACCAAAATCTTGTGTGACTTTGACTGATAATTCTTGAGTTATTGAAATTGATATGTGGATACCCCCCCAAAATTAAAATAAAAATTCTCATAATCTCCCTTGCTCATTGGTACACAGCCAATTGTGCCTAACGTTAATTTAACATGAAAATTAACGTCAATCGAGCTTATACATGAATTTAACGTTAAAAAATTAACGTTAAATTAACGTTATTTTCATGTTAAATTAACGTTAAGCGTTAAATTAACGTTAATTAGTTCACACTAATTTAACGTTAAATTGCATAAAAATTGTGTGCATATTTTTGGAATTTTCCTTCCTATTCTTCCAGAAAAATAAATGTTCTTGAATCATAAAGAAGCTTAACTGATACTACATGTAATCATAATTATTTCTCTAAAGGTACACCAGAAGCTCATCAGTTTTGCACTTTTCCTTGTAGCACTGCAGAAAGCTAGGCTTGCATGTTGACTTCATCCCTGGTGTCACTTTCTTTTCAATTTGAATATATCCAAAAGGATAAAGGGACCCTTCAGCTCTTTCAACAAAATCTCTAAAATTCTGAGCATTGCCTCCGATTTCAAATTTTCTGAAGAAAAGAGAAAAAACACCAATTCATCTATTAATACTTTTAATCAGGCATATTCAATACAATGCTACAAATCTTCTTTCTTTTTCCAATCTGAAAAAGAAGAGAGGCAAACACATATATTATAATAATTATATGAAAATAAAATACATACATTAACATCTCAAATTTGTCTAAAATATAATGAATGAAACAAGAGGTCCTTTGTCCACATCCCTCACCTGAGCACATGGGCTAGCTAAAAACACAGATCAGTTAAGTATTGAGAAGCTTACTTTATACTTATTGGGGGAGGGGGATTTGAATTTTCCATTACTTGAAAATGTCACTATTACAATCCAGCATACATATATTATTTTGCCATACTTGAAAAGAAGATTTTTCCAACACATTTTTTTCCAACACAGATTTTTGCCTGATCTCCCATTATGACCCCTCGCTAACCCCCAATCCCCGGGGCATTATTTGAATAAATTTAAATTTTTACTACTTGCAGATCATGTCAATTTGAGAAAACATTTTTTTCTGTTCTGGAGAAGATTCTTTTTCCTATGCATTCTTATGCAAGTCTGTGATCCCTCATTGTGGCCACATCCTAACCCCGGGGGTCATGATTTGAACAAAATGAATCCACATCACGTCATCAGATTAATCATTCCTATCCTAATGCTTCTGAAGAAGATTTTTAAAAGGTTTTTCCTATGCATTCCTATGTAAAATTTCGGTCGGCCATTGTGGCCCCATCCTACCCCCGAGGGTCATAATTTGATCAAACTTGAATCTACACTACCTGAGGATGATTCCACATAAGTTCGTAGAAGATTTTGAAAAGGTTTTTCCTATGCATTCCAATGTAAAACTTGGGAACAAATTTGAATCTACACTACAGGGGTCAAGAGGTCATAGATGTGCGTATCGATAAATGTTCAATGGAATTTCACAGTGACGTCATAAAGGGTCGACACGCATTCAGTGTCTTGTATACATGCCATTGGTTTTGAAAAATAATGCATTTTGCATGTTAAAAGCCACAGACAGCATGATCAGGCAAATATAAAGTATGAATAAGTCACAAATGTAAATATAAGTAATAAGGTATCATTTTAAAATATCCAACGGGCAGCGGGCTATAAATACGGGTTGGTACGAGATTAAATTCATTATAAAGCCCTTCAGGCTTTATAGAATTTAATCTTGTAAGTCATGACCAACCGATATTTATGTCCGGATAGATGTTTAAAAATACCTTATTTCTTAAGTAAGACTGAAAGTCCATTGTGCCCCCCCTCCTTCCTGGGTTGAAGAGGCTTGAAAGTACACTATCTGAGGATGCTTCCATTTAAGTTCCATCTTTCCTGGCCCAGTGGTTCTTGAGAAGAAGTTCAAAATGTGATCTGAGCTTTCGGCTCAGGTGAACTAAAAAGCTACTAGTATTTAAAAACTATATACTTCCATATATATTACTATACAGAGAGACTGGCAAACAGACATTGCATTTCCAGTATACTTTCAAAAAAAAAATAGGGGTGACATATTAAATGGGTTTAAATATTTGATATGTGTTCAGAATAAATACACTTTACCTGGTATTTTGAAGATTGCTTAAGGTGATGAAATATATTCACTTTCTTGTGATTATAATGTTCATGTCAGCAAGACTTTATACTGAGTTAACCTACAATTATAAAAAAAATAATTAAAAATCATTTATTTGAAATGTAATATCTGCAACATATATGATATTCATAGATAGAAACCAAATTTTAAGTGCAGCGTCTGATTCAAAGCAAACTTTTAGTACAGTGAAAGCAACTTGGCTTTAAATTTGTCTCTTTAGCATAAACTCTAGATCAATTTATAAAATTTTCTAAATGAAAATTATGAATACACTATGTATGTACTATTTTATAAATAACCTTTATTCCCCCATGGTTATCCGGAAAAACATCAATTCAAGGAGGCACCAAGGAATGGTATATAGAGGCTGTAGTCTGCTGTTTTCTCCATGTCTTGCATACAAGTATCTTTTCTGTATTATGCAGTAAAAGAAAAAAATCTTGATTTAATAATGCTTATAAAATGTTTCTGAACAAAATATTGACAAGTGTCAAGTAGTGACAAGTAATTAACTGGTATTTTAAAAAATCAGTTAAGGTGTGTGAATGTAAATGCACTGTCATTACATTTACTCTGGGAATTGTTTACATTTTGTTCCACTTTCAATACCTGTTTTGAGTTCCACTGGCATTATAATTTAGGCAGCTTGGTTCTTCCGAGTCTCGACGACAAAGTCCGATTTGATCCATTTCAGAAGTGTCAGAAGTGCGAGTCAGATGTGATACCGAGTTCCAGCTGTTTAAAATACAATGAAATAAATATTAAATCGGGTTTTTTTCTCGATAATGATGAAACCAATTAAGATGAACTGTTAGAATCAGGGAAAACATCGCTCACATTGCGTGTTTAACTTCAACTTCGAGATGGTTATTGTTAACTTGTACACAATTTCTACTTTCACTTTCGAATTTTCTCCGTATCGTATGTAGGCTTCAGTGTTCAAACAAATTTAACCAACTGAACAATAAATAGACCTAATAAAATAGTAATGCTGATATACAAATATCCAACATAGCAAAGATCTGGCACGTCGTTCACAGCATGGATAGGATACTACAACGTATACAGATACAGTGGAGTCGCCAATTCCGGGTCGTTTCCTATTCCGGGTCACTAGCGTGTATTTTATGCCTAGTGTTAAAGTTTAAGCGCAAAAAACTTAATGAATACGCTGGTTATGAAGATCTGGTCTTTCTGTATGTAATTAATTTTAAAATTTTTAATATCAACTTTAAGAGAGCATCCGACAATCGAAATTCTGAAACGCACGCATAAAAGACTTGGATGTTTCTGCTGCGGTGACGGGCTACTTTCATTTTTGTTAGCTGCAGAAAGGCTGATATAAAAGTTCTAGATAAATAATAAGAGCTCGAAAGTATGGCAAATGCATTTAGTTTTAACTCAGAAATCAATCGTAATGATCGCTGCTCAAATAAAATTATAGAAATTATTAAATCAAATTGTAGTAGTTTCTCCAATTGCGGGTCAGGCAATCTCATGGCATGAACATGTCAAAATTCTATGTACAAAACCAATTGAGAACCATGTATTTACCTTGATTATCAAAAGTATTCTAACTGGAAAATGTTTTTTTTTTTTTATTAAAATCCAGTTAACCCTTCAAATGCATTTTTTAAATAAATGAATTTAATTGCATTATTTTTCATCCCTATACATTTTTTTCACTCTGCATACTGCAATTTGTTTTGTTGTAATTCTTTAAAAAATAATTTAATTATATTTCTGTGGTTGTTTTACTTTTTCCAAGCTGCATGAATTGTTTTATGTTTCAACATCATAAAAATCGTGTTCCTAAACGTTACATGAATATTACACGACTGTGAAGTCACATGACCCGGAAATGGAGAAAATGATTCGTAACTGGAGAAGCTAGGCCTTGCTGAAATACCCTTGTAAATATTGTTCCCGCGTGTAGCAACTTTGAAAACGAAAAGGTGTTTGGATGACTCACTACTTTTCAATACACATATTGCATAAAATATAAATTGAATAGATTTGCAAAATATCAACGAAACACCCTGACGTGACCCGGAATTGGCGACTTCACTGTAGCCTGCAAGGACTGTTGAGTAATTATTGGTTATGTTGCTGTACATAAACTAGTGATAAAGTTCAAACATTTAGGGACCTCTGAAATTATGAAACTCTCAAAAACGTAATATTACAAAGACTACAAAATACAGTGATTTAAGCAGTTCCGGATCGTAACGGGAAAAACACTCAGTAAATTATTTATGCAGGACTTGTGTTTGATTTCTATATTGAAATAAATAGTCCTTCATTTACTCTTTCAAGCCACATTAATATTTTTTTTAAAACGTTATACTTTATAATCGAAGTTTTCCAATTAAAATATGCTGGAGTTCAAGCAGTTTAGGTGATTTCAAGTAGTTCCGGTTTTCGCCACCTATCGTTGTTATTTATAGTTGTAACAACAGAGGTCGTCTCAAAATTCATTTTTAACTATCAGATCTTAAGTTAATAGGGACAATAATATTTTTTTTCCCACTTTTTAAGACCTGAGATCGAAAATGGAATATCAATTATATCATATATAAAGAAGAAAAGATCATGTTTCAACAACTTTATTAACGATAAAATAAACTATCAAATATTTTTTTTTTAAAAATAAATAAACATATTATGGTACAATAAAAATCAGAAAATTGCATTGAAAAGGCTAGAAAAAATCATCAAAATAAAAAATATAATTAATCAAAGAATTGTTGTTCATATCATACAAAAAACTAGAAATATGTCCATAAGACATAAATGCCCAACACATAATTCACCAGTTCACTGAATTGTATGCACATGATACTAAATATAATCAGGCTTACCAAGGGTAAGAATGGCCTCAAACCCCGAAGACACCAGAGAGGGACGGATGTGCGTCTATGCTCGTCAGTGTCGGGTAGAAGAAAGGCGCTAAAAATAGGAGACCTGTAATCAAGTAATCCAACCCCGAACCCGATGTAATTAAGAGTATTTATACTACATTCCCCCCGTTCATGTAGAAAGAGTAATTATATAAAAATGAATCATTTTAAGTACGACTTGTTTCATACAAATTTTCGGAACTCTTTTGTGAAGAAGAGATATAAAGTGTATCACTGTATACAAACGTTCATGTGTCGTACCCTGCCATGTGCGCTGTTGACAGTTGCGGAAATGAAAGTCAAGGTATCGTAATATGTACACAAAATACAAATTAAATATGTACAATTTTATTTTTTAAACGAACTTGAAAAGATGTGTAAACATCTAAAATAGTTCGTGTTTTATTATTATAATTTTTTTTTGTTTTTGTTTTTTTGTAAATAAAAACATGTTAAAAATTATGATAATGAAGGCTGATGCATGCTACACTCGAGATGTGTAAACATCATAATGAGTGCATACATGCTAATGAAATGTCAGAATAAAAATATAAAATAATAATATATACATGTACACAGTTAAATCTTATAGAAATCTTTGGCATTTTGATTGCAGATAAGAATGAGAATATGTGCAGGGATGTTGAGGTATCGTGATGCTTGTGTAGCTACAGAGGAAACGGACCAGGGACCACGAGTAGAAAGATACGGACTGTCAGATTCAAGTAGGAGTTTGTCAAGAGGAATCTTCCTAATTGTAGACGACACAGATTTTGGCGCTATTCCAAATTTTACATTTGGTAGAGATGACTTCCATTTCTCAAGTTCATCCAAAGTTCCTGTGAAGCAGTGCCTATGAACTGGAATGTGTAAGGCATCCATGTCTTTCAGAATAGACAGAATGATGTCTGCTGCCTCACCATCCGAAGAGTCTCTAGAATGAACAATTAATGGTTTTTCTGTTAATTTTGCCAAGGAGACACATTCTTGGAAGAACTGAATTTGATGATGTTTGGTTCTCTGTTTACAACTCTCCGCTTGACAGTGCTGATGAACTGAACATTTTGATGTTAAGTCAATTCCTACTTCCCCTATTGCTACACAAGATGACACAGACACAAGATGAAGCAAAGTTTTCCAGTATTGAGGCCAATTGGTATGTACAAGATGAGGATGGATCCCAAAAGAAACGTAAACATTTGGATTAAAATGAACCTGATTTTCCCAAAGTTTCCAGCTGGTTGGGAAAACATAATTTGCAATAACTGCTTCTATATTTTGAATATTTGCACTAAAATGGTTTGCCAAAGCTTGAAAATTGGGTACTTTATTTCTTTTACACAGTTGATCCAGATGAAAATGAGAATCTGCAATTGGTAGAAACGTTTGACTGGAAGGAACTTGGAGAATCTGTTGTCCATGAATATTACATAACAAGGTTGAAGAACGGAGGTGTGAACGTTGAGTAGAGGTGAGTTCTTTAATTATGTTGCTAATGAGTTTCCAATGTAGTAAAGATAGTAAATGGTTTGGAGGTCGAATGGTGAGGTTATGTGGCAGATTCTGAATTCCAACTATTTTACAGAACTGGTTGAAGATGAGAAGATCTACACTGGAAAAAGGTGGTTCAGAGCTTTTGAGGGGATGAAACTGCTGGTTCTCTTGAACGTATGGAAGTAAATTTCTGAAAGGAATCTCTAAAAACTGTGCTACTGTATGTAAAAAACCAAGTATAAGGAAACACCATTCAGAAAACTTCTGATCACTAAAATATGCAGAATCTGAAGGATGAACATTGATGTGTTCATGGAATAGTTTACATGGAGTAGATGATTGTTGTTGACATTGCCAACATGCGGTAAGCGGATACAAGAACCAAGGAAGATGCATAAGTATAATATGCCTCTTCATAACTCCTGCAGAAAAACTACACAAAGAGCATTTTCTCTTATTTTTTTAGAGGATCCAGAAGAAGGTTGAATATTCTCTTGGTCTTCATCAGGTGAATAATCAGGGATGAAGTTACTTTCCTCAAAGTTGAGATTATAGAGACTCTCTGCAGAAGCCATTTGAGTAGATGTCAGATAACTAAAGAAATAATACGGAAGTAAGTTTGTATGAAACTAAAAGGAAAGAAAATGTTAACTTTATCAATTATACAAAAATAAATTGTTGATGAAGTGTAAACTTCTTTCAACAATGAGATTAAATATTTACAATAAAAGTTTTAAAAGATCTATCTGAAAATGTACATTTATCAAGCATAAAAATAGTAGTCACAGATATCAGCTATTTACAATAATCTTTCAGGTATTTGGGAGTCTTAACTATTCTCCCCCCTCTTGTCCTAGTAGAACTAACATTTTGTGTTTTGTAGGACTCAGAGGATGAAGCAATGTCTGGTGGAGGTTCAAAAGCCGGAGAAACCCCTGATGGAGTGATGTCACTAGTTTCCCCTGCAGGCACATCAGTACCTTGAGTCTCGGTGGAATCACCAGCGACATCACCCTGGTCTTGTTCAGAAAATAAATCATTTCTCATCTGTCTGAGGCTAAATGGAACTGGGCTATTACAAAGTTTTATTCTGTCATGATGAACTACCTGTTCCCCTTTCTTGTCTTTAATTTTATACAATGGAGGGTTGGTATCTACCACTAAATAAGGCCCTTTCCAAGGAGATTTTAATTTTCTTGATTGACCAACTTTGCTTGCTGAATTAGCCAAAAGAACTATATCCCCACTTTGAAAACTATTTTCAAGAGCTCGTAAATCATAATTTTTCTTTTGCCTAAGTTGTGACGATTTGATTTGTGATCTGCAGATTTCATGGGCTTCAGACAGATGTTTCTCCAACTCTTGAACCCAAACAGAAGGCTCACAAGGTTTCAGAATTTGATCCTGTGTACCAGACATGAGATGGAGTGGGCGGATGACTTCCCTACCTAACATCAACCTGTTGGGGGTAAACCCTGTTTGTTTGTGAACTGTTGCTCTTAAAGCCATGCCTAATAGAGGAAGATGTTTATCCCAATCTCTATTTTTATTTTCTACAAAACAGCGAATCATTTGAACGATTGTCCTGTTATATCTTTCTACTTGACCATTAGAACTAGGATGGTAAGGAGTTGTTCTTTTCTTTGTTATTTCTAGTGATTGACACAGTGATTTAAATAATTTTGATTCAAATTGTCTACCCTGGTCTGTAAATATTTCTAATGGACATCCAAAATTGACAATGAAATGTTCTACAAACATTTTTGCTATTTGTTCTGCATTTTGATCTGGTATAGGTACTATTTCTATCCATTTTGAAAATTGATCTACCATAACCAATATATATATATTTCCAGCCTCACTCGGGGGAAAGGGACCCAGAATGTCGAGATGAACCCTCTCCATGGGATAACCCGCATGAAATGTTTTCAAAGAAGCCCTAGCAGTTTTAGTAGGTTTCTTGTTAGTATTGCAGGCAGAGCAGGACTTAACATAATCGTGACAGTCAGTAGTCATATTGGGCCAAAATGCAGATGATTTCAATGTTGCTAAAGTTTTTTCTATCCCTAAATGACCTGAAGATTTTGTATCATGGGACAGGGAAAGTACTTTTTGTCTCAAAGATGTAGGGACTACAATGCAAACTATTCTATCAGGACATTTCACCCATTCATAGAACAAAACACCATTTTGAATGAAGAGTCTATCTTTACATAACCAAAGTGCCCTAGTTTCCGGACTGGTTAGTCTAAGTTCAAAATCTGATGGTTCTATGTGCTTTTCTAACCAATGAAAAATGGGACTTATGTTTGTGTCATCTCTTTGTTGTTGACTTAAATGTTGATCTTTGAATGTTTCAGACCAGTTAGAAGAAGTTTGATGAATGTTTTGTTGCTGTGTTTGTTCGCAGGATGTGGTCAATATTTTGGGTGAAGAAAGATTGTCCGATTTGATACTTAGCGGAATCACATCATCCACGTCCAGTTGAAATCTTGACCATTGATGGTGGGCTCTCGTACAATAATGACATCCACCACAAGGGAGACTATCCAGTGATCTTCCAGCGTCGTAACAGTCACATTCAGGAATGGTTTCAGGAATCCTTGACAAGGAGTCGGCATTGACATGGGAGGATCCTGATCTATGTTTGATCTGAAAGTCATATGAAGATAACTCCTCCAGCCATCTTGCCAGTTGACCTTCAATATGTTTGAACCTCATCAACCATGTGAGACTGTTGTGGTCTGTTCTGATGATAAATGGCCTACCTAGGAGATAATGTCTGAAGTGTCGACAGAACTTCACCACAGCAAGTAATTCTTTCCTTGTCGTGCAGTATCTGCGTTGTTCCTTAAGTAAAGTATGACTGGCATAACTGATAACATCTTCTTTACCATCATTGATTTGATATAGGACTGCTCCAATAGAATGATGGGAAGCGTCGGTATCCAGTAAAAATGTACCGTCTGGAGTTGGGAATTTCAGACATTCTGGGCTGGTCAAGGCAGTTTTCAAGTCATTCATAGCATTCTGGTGATCTTGAGTCCAGTTGAATTTAGCTTTCTTTTGAAGTAAGTCGTACAAGGGTATCGCTAACTTTGCAAAATTCTTAATATGATCTCTGTGGTAATTAACAAACCCTAAGAAAGCTTGAAGTTGTGTTTTGTCTTGAGGGGTGGGCCACTCGTTGATTGTTTTTATTTTATCTGGGGAAACATGTACACCTTCATGATTGATTATCCTACCCAAAAATTCTACTTCTTGTCTGAACAGAGTGCATTTATTTGGTTTTAATTTTAAATTGTATTCTCTAAATCTTTCAAAAGCTTTTCTGAGATTTTCTAATGGTTCTGAGAAATTTTTGCCCAAGACTATGATGTCATCTAAGTAGACTAAGAGTTCTTCCCAAGTCATACCTCTCAGAACTAGACCCATTGCCCTTTGGAAAGTTGCGGGTGCATTGCACAACCCAAAAGCCATTCTTTGGTGTTCAAAAAGTCCATATTTAGTCAAAAAGGCTGTTTTCTGTTTGCTATTTTGATCTATTTCGATTTGATAATAGCCCATGGCTAGATCCAAAGTGCTAAAGAATTTTGTGCCATACAGAACATCCATACAGTCAGAGATAAGGGGTAGTGGATAGCAATCTTTAACAGTCCTAGCATTTAGATCCCTAAAATCTACACAATATCTGACACTACCATCTTTTTTCTTGACTAAAACTGGAGCAGATGCCCACTCGGAACAAGATGGAGTAATGACCCCTGCATCTAACAATTTCTGTAAGTGCTCTTTTTCTTTATCTTGAAAACCTAGTGGAGTTCTTCTGAATTTTTGTTTTACAGGAGCGGCATTTCCTGTATCAATACTGTGTTTTACACCTTTCAGACAACCTAAATCTAACTCCCCCTGGGAAAATACGTCTGAATATTCTTGTAATAAACACCCTAACATTTTGACCTGTTCTTTATCTAATCCTACACTTGACCTATCAAAAAGATCTTGAACATGACTAGGTAGTGCTAGATTTTTGGGTGTGTTATTATCAAGGGATGTTCTGTTAATGACAAGTTGGGGATCTGTTTCGTTTGTCACAACTTCAACTGGCTCTGCATTTGCAATGTGTTGACCTACTTTTAATTTCACAGTTTTGTTTGAATCATTGACAACCTTCACTTTCAGAGTCTCACCTTCACCCAGAACTGAAGAACACAGAAATTCTGAAGAATCAAAGGGTTCAACTATAAAATTGGAGTCTAGTGGCCTGCTTAGAGCACAACTGACAAACCCCACTGAATTTGCTGGTATGACAGATCTACTTTGAACAGTTACCCTTGCAACTTTGATTTGTTCACCTTGTATGTTCTTTATATTTGCTGTAACTGCTTGTTTGCCAATTTCTAAGATGTTTCTCCTAAGATCAATAACACAGTGATTGGCCTCTAAAAAGTCTAACCCCAAAATTACTGTATCTTTCATGTCAACTGCACACATATCGATAGAGTATGATTGAGTCCCTATCTGACACAAAACATTTTTGTACAGTTGCCCCGTTATTTCGTTTCCACCTAAACCTTTTATTGTCATGTTTTGTGAAGCTAGAATGGAATTGCTTTCACTCGGGAAAATACTTTTATTGACCAAGGTCACCATAGCTGCTGTGTCAACAACTGCTGTTGTTTGATGGCCATGGACAACAAAAGGAATCTCCAGAGTCAAACCTTTTGAATTTTGATTGATGTTTATTTGAAGATTCTGACCTTGTTGTTCATCATTAACCAGGCTACGGTCAGCTAGACTGGTTACTTGGCGTTTAAATTTTCTGAAGAATTTGGGGAGCTGGTAGAGGATTGTGGTTTTGTTGGAGTAGACCTGTACGGACTTGGTGTTCTGTATTTGAATGGAGATGGAGATCTAGATGTTTGAAATGACTTGTTTTGCATTGTTGAATTTTGAGTGTTTTTGAAGGGACTGTTAGATCTGAAGGGTTGACTGTAATTTATAGGACTGTTTGATCTGAAGGGTCGACCGTAATTTATAGGACTGTTTGACCTTGACCTAGATTCGAACCTTGGTGTAGTTCTTGAAACCGCAGTATTTGATAATTTGTCATCCAGTGTTTGTTTAATACTGAAGACCATGTCTGTGAGTTTTGAAATTTTGTCTTCCATTTGTTCCAACTTTTTTGTTTGTTGTACTGGTGATGATTCAAATGAGACTTGTCTGTGATAATAGGGCTTACTAGATCCATAAACTGCTTGTTGATTTGCGATTGATGTTCTCATGAGATCTAGAGCTTCATGGATGTCCTTGGGATTCTCTTCAATCACTGTCCAGGCAGCTTCTTTATCCCTGCATCCCCTAAGGAAGTTTTCTGTTGATATTTGATTGACTAATCATTTTCCCGATTCTTTGTAGCCATCGATGGTGATGAAGTGAACTCTTTGTGCAAATTGTTGAAGTGATTCCTCCTCATGTTGTCTCATGTACTGCAGCTTGCGTCTAGCTGAGATTGGGTTTTCTTTAGTATTGAACCTCCTACTCATTTCCTTTTTAATCTTTTTGTAGCTGTCTAGATCCAGTTTACAGACATATTCTAAGGCTTCCCCCTCTAAACTAGTGAACAATTTGTCAGTACGTTTCTTTTTTCCCCAATCATGTCTGTCAGCTATCTTTTCAAATTGTGTGATGAATGTGTCCCAGCTGATCTTTCCATCACCACTAAATGTGTGTAATTTTGATGTTGGACTACGACTTTTTTGTCTGTGTCTGCGTCTGTGATGGTGTCTGTCATAGTCAGAGTCACTACTGGAGGAAGAAGAAGAGGAGGATCGTGAAGATGAGGAGGAAGAAGAGGACTGATATCTTGGTTTTCTGTGATGCTTTCTACCTCTTGTGTTGTCATCATGTATGCTGTCAAACATGTGTGATCTTGAATGAGTATGTGTGTCTTTGCTTTCTTGATTTTTGCTTTTTCTGTTTTGTTTTGTGTCTGATTGCTCGGCTATGTTACGGAAGGTCAGAGTTCACATTCCTTGTAACATCGTATTGGAAGTTTAATTGTGACGTCATTGAAATTTAACAAGCTACAAAAATTAATTAACGATATGATCATGCGTAAATAGCAACTTGAATTTATATATTTTATCGATTATTCATAAAATCTTGTAAAATTGCAATACTTGATAGCGATACAGTCGAGTAATAGAAGAAAGCCTTTTGTCAAATATGACGTCATCAGCCTTGACATGACGCAGTTCAAGTGATCCGGAGGAGTAAATTCACTGGTTTAATAATTACAAGAATGATTAAATAAATGTGATACCATTGCGAATTTTTAGACCTAATCATTAAAACTAAAAGAAAATTATTTATTAAATACAATGTGTATAGAATATGAATTTATCTAGTAGCATCGAAGCTGCACAGGGATAAGGAATATAGAGAATATCGCTAAAACGATGAGCGTATTCGTGATATACATCAAAAGTGCAAGGGCATAGACTATTTTGTTTGAGCTGAAATTTGGAATATTTATTGCTCATATAGTGTATATTTTGAAAAGTGCTGGGAGCTGTTGCATAACATTAATTTTATTTATGTAAGCGAAGTGGAAATTTTTAGCTATTATAAGTGCAAAATTTTAAGTCTTCGCAAACAGCACTGACTAAGCATGCTTTTAATGTGTATCAATTATTTTCTTGAAAAACAAGCGTATGCCCTTGCACTATCCACATTTCCAACATTCAGCTTAACAATTCTATTTTTATACTTGACAAACAGCTGATACGTTATTTTAACTGCATTATTGATGCTATATTACCTTTTTACAAGTATTGTTGCTCTGTTAAATTTTTTTAAAAGAAGCAATACATATTAAAACGGTGCAAAGGTAACATTTTCCATATCGGTCCTTAACATAGCTGAGTGTTTATTGTCAGAGTGTTTTCTTGAGTAAATGCTATCTGGTGGCATAGCACTTAACCATTTTTTCTGCTGTGTTTCTTGTTCTAAAGCAAACTCTGCTTTCTTTCTTCTCTCTCTCTCTAATTGCAACTGCTCTTCCTGTCTCTCTAATTTAACACTCAACTCTCTCATGCTAGTATCTTGATCTCTCATGCCATAGAACACATCGGAGTCTAAACTAGTAGCACCCCCAAAAGACACTACTCCATTGTCTTCCCATTTTTTCCATTGTTTCTCTGATACATCTGTACATTTACCTAGGATATTTGCATTTAACTCGTATCGTTTTCTAATTCCTATAACATCAGTTATGGTACGTTGATCTAAGATCTTTGACATTTCAAATTCAGAAGCTGTTTGTAAATTGATTGAACCCATTGTGAGAGAAAAAAAAAATACCAAGAAAACAAGAAAATACTAGTTGTGTAAACAACCAGTGATTGTAAAATGAAATAAATTGTGAAAACAAAAAGAATCAGTAAAGAACGAAAAATCGAATTGTGTTTTGTTTTGAATTTGGCGCCAATGGCTGAGTGACTACGGTAAACAATGTAAATTTCACCGGATCAGAAAAAAAAAATATATAACCGAATTATCCTCGTCGCCAATGTTGTATATCTCTATATACTAAATATAATCAGGCTTACCAAGGGTAAGGCTGGCCTCAAGCCCCGAAAACACCAGAGAGGGACGGATGTGCGTCTATGCTCGTCAGTGTCGGGTAGAAGAAAGGCGCTAAAAATAGGTGACCTGTAATCAAGTAAACCAACCCCTAACCCGATGTAAATAACATAAAGCTTCATTTATGTAAAGAATCATTAGAAACAGAAACATTTATGTTTGCATAATTTTAAAATTATTCGGAACTGCTTAAAATCCGGAACTGCTTAAAGCACTGTACTTACTTTTAACAGAGACTTGATGAATCCTTTTTCCTCTGTGTTTTCAATTTCTGTTACAGCTGATGACGTCAAACATGACGTACAGTTTCGTCCGATAAAAATAAAACCGATCCTGAGAAAAGCTACGGACCATTTTTAGCCAGAAAAAAATCCAAATCCAAGTTGACATTTTGAAAGATAGACATAGAGCTTATAATTTAAGTCTAGATAAATTACTTTTTTAAGAATGTATGAAAAAAAAATGGACAAGGTGCAGAGGGTGCTAACAGTTAGAGCCCCCCCCCCCCTTTTCCCAAACCCACGCGTGTAACACACAACCTTGCACAAACACAAAGGCACTCGTGTTGGAAATAGTGCAGGAAATACTTTTTGAACCTATGGTATAATACTAACACAACTGTTATCTTTATATATTGGGGTTAAAAATTTATTTCCGACACAAGTGCCAATACCCCCCCCAACCCCCCACTGCCAACCCCCAACCCCGGCGGTTTTGAGCATCCACATATGGACATCTTGAATTAATAATTAATTAAATGTCACTAAAATGATTGGCAAGTATTGTTTAAAGTTAGGTCTAAAACTTGAATATTAACATTAATCTCCTGTTATTCTAATTAACATGAAATTAACATTAAAGAATTAACGTTAAATTCACATTAACATAAAATTAACATTAACTAATTAACGTTAATCTAATGTTAATATTTTGGTTCTACTTTTTTAAGACAGAACCCAAGCTCACTTAAAATTTTAATGTTAATTTAATGTTAAAAACTAACATGAAATTAATGTTAAGTTAAATTAACGTTAAAAATTAACGTTAATTCAATGTTAACTTTTTTAATGTTAACTTAACACAAAAGTAACATTAAACTAACATCAAGCTAACGTTAATTTAATGTTAATTGAGATTAACACTAAATTAACGTTAGGCACAATTGGCTGTGAACCAGTGTAACTTCCGTCAGCCATACCATGATTGCACGAAATTTATACCGATTGCAAATGCGGAAAACGTTGTCTTTAACTCCAATGCATCGATTAGCACTACAAAATGTGATCATGAAATTGTCATCATCAACATGCACGTGTTTTTGGCTTTTTATCATTTCCCTTACGTGATGCCATACATTTCATGGTGGAGTAGTTTTGACCAGCAATTTTAGTGCAAAGTAACAAAAATACATATATGACCAATTATCATAATTTTCGGCCACATAGTCATTGATTTTTCGCATTTTATGTTCTTATGCGTTTCTTTTTCCCTTCAGTATATGAAAAAATGGAGACCTGTCTCATTACAAAAAGAGATTTGACTCCAATAGAAAAGATTACAGTCATTAAAAAGCTTGCTATTCAAAAATTTGTACACCTATTCTCATATTACACATTTTGTTTTTTTTTGTGCATATGACAATATAATAAAACAATTTTATACGATATAACTGTTGTCTACAATTAAATTTTTATTGGGTAATTTATCTTTGCAGATTGAAGATCTAGGTCATATATATACAGTAAAGGTTTCAATGTCATGAAAATTACTTTTATGTTTGACTGCTAATGTAATAAAGAGCATGATCATGTACATGAATGTATATCTTTGGAAATTTAAATCTGATTAAAATCAGATCCTTGTTACTCTCTGAATTTCTGATGCTACAATCTTTGATATGAACAGCGACCATCAGAAATTCGGAGCGTAACAAATATCTAATTTAAATCAGATTGTGGGCACATTAAACACACTCCAATTTAGATTTTCTGCAGTAATATATTTTTTAATATTTGTGCAATATTTGACAAGAATTACTTACAGGTTGTTTGTTTTACATTGACCAATGAAATAATAATAATAAAAAAACTTTCAAGAGTGACATCGAGTATCAGCTGGATAAATAATATGTTTCAAAGTAATGTCTATAATTATTTCCTTAAAATCTGGAAAATTCTAATTGATAAAGGGTAATCTTCATAAAGTTGGTGGTAAGAATCAGAAGAATCTTGCATTTGACAATTAGATGAAGGAACTTAAGATGTCCTTGACTCCTTGTCAATATCTTTATAAGAAGATGGGCGCATTTGGCGGGTAATCTGCAGAAATCATTTGTACGAAACATTTATGGTTTAAATGTCAATGATTTGGTTGGCTGAACATACCTGGTTAGATTTTACAAACACGTCCATGGTTTTTTTTTAGTTTGAAAGACATTGTGAAATTGTAACATTTATGTCCATTTTTTTTTCTAGGGGGTACTATAACATAGTAATCTTTCACAAAAAATAAAACCTAAAATATTTAATGCATAGATGCATGATACGTGTACATAATAATAATAATATCCTTTATTTATACAGGATTTCACAATTAGTTTACAACTAGTTCACATTGTGGTTCTGAAAACATTTATACAGACAGAAGATTATGTACAGAAACATATAAATATAGAGCGAAAAGAATATAAAAATCAATATTTACAGATGGTTTGTCAAAGTGACGTCTATAAACATCAGAAGTATGATCTATGTGATTAACATTTTAGATTGTAGACTGGAAATAATTTCTTATATATGCTGATTTAAAACTTTGCAATGATGAACAATTCTTTAAAAATTCTGGCAATTTATTCCATAGCTGGGAACCGTAAATTGTAAAAGATCTTCTATAATATTCTGTTTTTGCCCTCGAATATACAATGAATTTCTTTGACTCAATCTTGTAGATCTGTTGTTTATTTCATGTACAAATTTAAAAACATCTAATTAATCTGGAGTTAATCCATTTAAAACTTTAAAAACAAGAGGTCCATGGGCCACATCGCTCACCTGAGAAGCTTTGATCATTCTGTTCTTTATGAGATTTCCCCCTTGTTATACATAATGCATCCCCACCCTACCCCACTGATCATAATTTAGACATTTTGAAATCTACACTACCCCATGATCCTTCCATGGGCACATATGCTTCAGCTTTTTTGGCCCAGTGGTTCTTGAGAAGAAGATTTTCAAAGATTTTTCCTATATATTTCTATGTAAAACTTTGATTCCCTATA